TTGGGTGGGGTTACTGCTACCCCACGGTTTGGCAGTTATGTGGTAACCGTGCGGTTATCGTAAAAACCGCACGGTTATTGCGAGGTATACCGTGGTTGCAAACACTGAGAATGTTACCGCACGTAATAACCATGATAATCGTGCGGTTTTGTAAACCCTGGTCACCCCAGGGGACAAGATTCTATTTTATTTTTGGAGTACTTGATTAGCACTATAGGTACGTATTAGTCTCGATATGTAGCTTCCATATGCTTCGGATTGTCACATCGGAGTAGTATACCAATTTATCAGTGATATTCCCTGCATGCTAGCTTGTCCAGAAAATGTGGCCAATCTATTTCGAAAAAGAAATGTCGCCAAAGGCCCAGTCAGACTGTTGCAGTTACAAGCATGATCTGACAGTATCAGCTATATATACGAATTAAAAGATTACGTGTATCCAGAAGTTCCAACCACTATATCTGCCGAGATATATTTGCACTGAACATCCTGAACAAAGATCCAGTTCCATGCATGCATATGCATGGCCCAAATTAATTAGTATATATTTCGCTGTTAACACGCAATGAAATGGTTTAAAATCGTATCACGTTGAGCACATTTTGAGGGTATATATATAGAGAGAGTTCTTAATTTGTTCATCAACGTCGTCAATTATATATCCTCCCAGCATTTGTACGTACATTCTGAATTCTAATTCTCAGCCATATATTTGCGTAGTCGTCACATCATTAGTTTACTACTCCCCCAAAGTATAAGGTTTTTTGATGGATGTGACGTATACTAGTATAATAAATCTGGATAGACCCTAATTCTCAATCCTATATTTGCGTGGTCGTCACACTGTTTGTTTATTATAACTTCCGTCCCAAAATATAAGAGATTTTGGATAGACATGACACATCCTAATTTGTCTAGATTTATTATACTAGGATGCGATATATTCACCCAAAAATCTCTTATATTTTGAGACAAAGGGAGTATTAGAAAGCGAGGCGATTGATTCCTGGCATGTGTCCTTGATCTCCTAATGATCGATGAACAAATGCTTTTGTTTTTTCAAGATGCATGGATGGCGTGCACCTCTTTTTTACACATTGGCATATATAACATGTCTCCCTATCTTTTTAAAACAGATTATGTTCTATAATGCACACTTTAGACCCTTTAATTTGAAGGAAGACCATAGGAATTTCAGAGGATTCTAATTTTATATATTTTTTTCCTAAATTAATGGTTATTTGAAACAAAGTAATGTACAATGTTGAATTCAATGAAATTTCTATGGAATGCCTAGATCATTCTATTCCATGCATGTTTGGGAGGAAATTAAATTAACATGAGATCCAACATAGCTCATGGAAAACTTTCTGAGTCTTTCTCTCCTTAAATTTTAGAGTTTTTTTTTCTACAGTTCAATCAAAATGGTTATTCTTGAATTTTGTAATTCTCTATTCTATACTTGCGTTCCCACTGAAGTATTGGGTTTCCCTATTTCTCCGTTTTCTCAATATTGTGTTTCAAAGGACCCCTGAGTACCAGGGAATTTTCAATCATTGATACATTCAAAGCATTAAGATTTTATTATATGCAATGCATAGCCAAAAATGCTTATATTAGCAAAATAAAAAACAATATGTTTGGAGAACAAAATGATTAAATATATGCATCGTAGTTCGTGTCAATATTTTTACACTGTACACCATGTTGATGTTTTAAATCAGAAGGGAGAAAAAAAATATAGAGGGAGTAACTAATTAAGAGCTTGATCCAGCTAATAAAATATTTGTTGACTTAGACCCAAAGCACAACTAACTACTTCCAGTTTTGATACTAGCCACCAGGATACATGATGCAAAGTTCCATATATATGGTCTGTTTGTAAATTTACGTTTTTTCTTCAAGAAATAATTACTCCATTGTAAACAAACCATTAATTATGGATCACACATATGTGTTCCCATCATGCATGATTATTTGAAGTGGACTGGCATGATTATTTGCAGGTTGTTAATTACTTAATTGTAGTCAAGTCAACTTCACTTACTTTTCCTGTGCCTGACTAATTATCACTATAATTATAACTGAAATCAAATTAAAGTAATCAAGAATATGATTCTCCTTCGTACGCAAAAGGAAGATTGCATAGCGATTGAGGAGAAGATCAGCAGTTGATTATTAACTTTGGGTGCTTCTAAAAATAATGATATATTTAAAAATATCCTAACTGTAAAAGGCCACAAATTAAGAAGAAGCACATGCTTGTCAGGAAGAACAGCTCAGTCTTGCCTACTCTCTCTTTTAACAAAGCTATAGCTACGGCCATCAAGACCATGCTCCTAATCCAACAGAGGATCGCCACGTTCCTCCAGACAGATCTGCATCATGTAGTAATGATGTACATAACCTTGTTTATTTAAGTTCAAACCTATTGTGATGACCACCCTGCATGCTAATATTTAAGTCAGCAAACCTAATACGGAGTATATTACTACTACATATTATTGCTCCAAGCTAATAAGATATATAGTTAATTAGCTCTACATGATTTGTACTTTAAATTAACCTTTCAGTTATATAAATATGTAGCAGTAGGAGTATATTTCTAATTTATGATCATGGTATGCAGAAGGAATCATGAAATCCTAGAAGAAGTGGCACAGTCTCACAAGTTTGACATGGCAAACTGTGCATTTTTCTTTTTAAAATAAAGCCTAGCTATTTACAGTTGTACTTAACCCCTAAAGTATTTTTAGCTTATTATTTTAAAAAACATAAATTTTAGGGAAGAAGTTAATATCAAATAATTAAAAGAGGTGCGGTTTTGAATCAAGGTCGTACGTCTAGCTCACCGTTTTACGGAGCTAGCCAGAATAGCTCTAGCCCTGTGCGTTTCTCTTTTTTTTAAGCTTATTTTACACTCCGGATTACTAAAATAATTAACTTGTTTACAGTTGTAACGAAATATACATGATTCAAATCTGCACAATTGTTGCGGCATTGCTATTCGAAAGCACAAGTAAAAAGAAAGTACTGTATCAAACAATTATATCGTTGTTACCTATGCACATGCAATTGGAATATGTTCTACTCCCTTCATCCCATAAAAAAAAACAACCTAGTAACATATATGATACATTCTTGTATATGAATCTGGAATACATATGTTCATATTCATAATGCTAGAATATATCATATTCAATATTAGATTTGTATTTTATGGGACGGAAGGAGTATGTCATTAGTGTTTCCTGTCATGTAGTATATACTAAATATTTTGATCATGAATAAATCGAATGGAAATTGATATATAATTTTGTTACTGGTTGAAATATGCAGGGGTACTATTTTTAGAGCCTTTGGCCCATAGGCTATGGGCACGGTAACAATATCACGTCCGCGAGAAGGCTGGACGCTCTAGATAAACGACATTATATTCTATTAAGGGGACGCTACGGAATTACCCTGTCCACCTTATAGAAATAAAAATCCCATACCCTGGTGTTTACATAAAAGAATATTATTATTTTTTTGCGGGGAATAAAAAATATAATTTGTTTTGCTCAGATTTAAAAAAATCAGAAACTTTCACATAATGTCAAAAAATAATAAATATATTATAAGCCTTCGATTCTATATATTTCAACGCTTCCGTGCTACTCCGACTTTTCCCTATTTTATGCTCCATCATTCATAGGTGGTATAAATGTCCTTTCAGCTAAATAAATAAAAACATTTCTTTTTATAGTACCTTAGTATCTAATACTCCATCAATTTTAAAGTTTGATACTCCTCTATTTCGTATTATAAGTTGTTCGATCGTTCCTTAGTCAAACTTATTTAAGTTTGATAAAGTTTGTAGCAAAATATAGTAACATTTCTATACAAGGCAAATATTGTATCAAAATATATTTAAAGTTAAATTTAATAAAAACTAATTTAGTATCATAAATGTTGCTAATTTTTTCTATAAACCTAATCAAACATAAAGTACTTTGAGTAAGTAAACAAATGAACAACGATAGTATGAAACGGAGGGATTAACTTCCAATTAGATAGAATAGGTTGAGAGAATACGTAGGTGGAGAAAATAACAGTCGTATTTAGTTTAGATAAGAGGGTAGATAAAGAAAAAATTAGTAAATGACACATGTTGCTATATTTTTAAACGGATAAAGTGATATCCAATACTAGAAAACAAAGCACATAAATGATCTACTCGCAACCAATAAATGAATTGAATGAATATGAAATATACAAAAGAAAGCAACGAATAAATTAATACTAAAACGTCGTGCGTGCGCACATGCCACATGGTGATGGCGAGAAAACATTAACAAAACCCCAACCCAGCACGCCACCCCACTAAAGTCCAACCCTCGTGACGCAAATTCTATTCCCATTTTAATAAATTATTATTTAATTAAATTAATTAATTATTACTTCTAATTTTCGTTCTTTTTACCCCTCCTCCCTCGTTTTCTTTTTCTCACCGCGTCCAATCCTACCCACCACCCCCCCCACAACGTTTTCCGCCCACGTGGGCCCCACCGACACGTGGGTCCCACCGTGACAGGCTAGTATACCCACACTAGTAGTACTCCCTCCGACGGTAGCTAGCCATACCCCCGCGCAATTCCGGCTCGTGTGCGCGAAGGGGGGGACACGTGTCGCGCCTCGGCAACCTCGGGATCCGCGTCTAGCGCGGCGGAGGCGGCGGCCCGGTCACGGACAGGTGGGCCCCTGCACGCGCTGTAGCCCACGTCGTCAGTGACTTCGCGTAGCGCTAGACCGGGTGGACTTGGTTCGTATACTCGGCCACGTGGGGGGAGGGCGACCGGCCCGAGCCGGTCACCCGCGGTGTGGGCCCCACCCACCCCCTCCCTCTGTTAATAATTATTACCAATCCGGATTAGATTAAGCGAAAACCGCGTGATTAACTTAAACAATTGATTAGCGCACGCATCCTAGTACAAAGAGAGAGAAGAAGAGCGAGTAGTGGTGGTAGTAGTAGAAGAAGCGTAGAGCGGTCAAGGCTGCGTCGTCGTCGTCGTCGTCGTCACCGGCAGCGGAGGAGGAGGAGGAGGAGAGAAGGTTCAGAGGAGGAGGAGGTAGCGAGGCACGAAGTAGCAGCATCTCATCTCATCTCTCCCTGGCTGGCTGGGGGGAAATTCGATGGAGAGGGACTTCCTGGGCGCGATCGGGAAGGACGAGGAGCAGCGGAGGCATGCGGAGGAGAGGAAGGAATCAGGTTAGCTTTTCTCGCGGGAATTCGCTCGCCTTCCCTGTTTCGGGGCGATTTGGCGCGCCGCGGCGGGGGGGAATCTTGAGGAGGGGTGGGTGAGTTCGGCGAGCTAACTGCTGGATGTGGCCATGGCCGCCATGGCTCGTGAGGCGGAGAAGAAAAGCGACATCCTCCTCTTCCATGGATTTTGTGTTGGATTTTCTTTTCTTTGTTTTTCTTTTGGGGGGAAAGGAAAGGTGGTCGCGTTTGGTATGGCGGCCTAATTGCTTTCGATGGCTCACTTTGCCGTGTACGCTCGATTCGGGGCGAAGAAATTCAGCGAGGATTTCTCTCCGGGGGAGAAAGCCGGCCGAATCTTTCTGCCGCTCGCGCGTGTCGCTAGTCGATTTCGAGTAGTCGCTGCTTCTGAAACGATTGGGATGCTTAACGGATTCTTGGTTGATTGTGTCATATATATAGAGCTGGGCGGATGAGTATTCGATTGAGTGTGTGTGCGTGCGCAATTTTCAGATTACTTTGGAGCAGGAGGAGGAGCGGCAGCGGCGGCGATGGATTGGTCGTTCGCGAGCAGGGCCGCGTTGATGTCGTTCAGGTCGTCGTCGTCGGCGGCGGCGGCGGCGGCGAGGGAGGAGACGAGGGAGCTCGCGTTCCCACACTTCTCGGCGTTAGACGGCGCCAAGATGCAGCAGGCCTCGCACGTCCTCGCAAGACAGGTGGCTTGCGCTGTTCTTCTTCTTCTTGATTTTGTTCTTGCTCACTTGCTGCTTGTGAATTTCTGTTTGATATTGATATCCTAATTAATTAGTTTGTGGATATGTGGATGTTTTTTGCAGAAATCGTTTGGTGCCGAGAGCCACGGCATCCCGCAGTACGCCGCCGCCGCCGCCGTGCACGGCGCTCACCGTGGCCAGCCACCGCATGTTCTGAATGGGGCTAGAGTGATTCCGGCCTCGTCGCCGTTCAACCCGAACAATCCGATGTTCAGGGTTCAGAGCTCGCCCAACCTCCCGAATGCCGTCGGCGCCGGTGGTGGCGCGTTCAAGCAGCCGCCTTTCGCCATGGGCAATGCGGTTGCCGGATCTACGGTCGGTGTGTACGGAACAAGGTAGCTAATCCGCTCTGTTATCGAGCACGAGGTTTGTGACTTTTGTGAGAGTGGAAATGAAAGATGAAATTGGACTGAAATATATAGCTTGTCTTGCTTTGTATAGGGACATGCCGAAGGCGAAGGCGGCGCAATTGACCATCTTTTATGCTGGTTCTGTAAATGTATTCAACAACGTCTCGCCGGAGAAGGTATGATTTCATTGTGACAGATGGTGCATCTTTGTGCTGTACTATGGATGATTATTACCAATTGACATGTTTTAATAGCTGTTTCTCATTGTTGCAGGCTCAGGAACTCATGTTCTTAGCTAGCAGAGGATCTCTTCCAAGTGCGCCGACTACCGTTGCTCGTATGCCAGAGGCACATGTCTTTCCCCCAGCAAAAGTCACTGTACCTGAGGTTTCGCCTACAAAACCGATGATGCTTCAGAAACCGCAGCTTGTTTCGTCTCCCGTGCCAGCCATTTCCAAACCTATCTCCGTTGTGTCACAAGCTACAAGTCTTCCACGGAGTGCCTCAAGCTCTAATGTCGACTCCAACGTGACAAAATCTTCTGGTCCATTGGTTGTTCCTCCCACAAGTTTGCCTCCTCCGGCCCAGCCTGAGACACTAGCCACTACCACTGCTGCAGCTATTATGCCGAGAGGTATGCCTATTAATTGCTTGCATGAATTGTATTGTGATGTTATGATAGTAGTTAGAACTTCAGATGAATTGTTACAGTGTATGATTTATTTCTCTTTTTTTCATTGCAGCTGTCCCTCAAGCGCGGAAGGCATCCCTTGCCCGATTCTTGGAGAAGCGAAAGGAAAGGTAGAGATCATATATTTAAGGGACAATTGCTCATTTGACCCTGTTTCGAAGCCTAACTACCAATCTGACCTTACATTTTTTAGTTTGCTAATTTGACCCCGCTTTTCAAAATTGAGCATGCCGTTTGACCCTATTTACACTACGCCGTTAGGGTTTCACAAAAAGAAAAGAAAAAAAAGCATTTTACTATTCAAAGTGACCAAATTGCCCTCCATACATTTCACTTTCAACTCAATCTCACGAGTCATGACCTGCCCGACCCTCTCTCGTTCACATCTTGGCGGCGGCACCGGCGCCAATGCGGTGAGCGAGCAGGAGGCAATGGCGGTGCGGGGAGGAGGTGCGGCAACGGTGCCGGTGCATGGAGGGAGGCGGCGGCGGGGGCGCCGGAGCGCGGAGAGGGGAGTGGCGCGAGGAGGCAGCTGGGGTGGCCGACGCGTGGAGGGAGGAGGGGGCGGCGGTGCGCCGGTGTGCGGAGGGAGGCGGCGGCGGCGGCGGTGGCGGTCGGCGCATGGAGGGAGGCGGCGGTGGGGGTGTCGGTACGCGGAGAGAGGAGCGGCGGCGGCGGAGAGAGGAGCGGTGGGCGAGTGGCGCGAGGAGGCAGCCAGGGCGGCCGGCACGTGGAGGGAGGAGTGGGCAGCAGTGCGCCGGCATGCGGAGGGAGGCGGGGCCGGTGGCGGCCGGCACGCGGAGGGAGGAGCGGCGGCGGGGGCGGCGCGAGGAGGGATGCCGTGGCAGCCGGCGCGGTGGTGGGAGGGGGGGTGGCGTTGCGCCGGTGTGCGGAGGGAGGCGGGGGCGGCGCCGGCACGCGAAGGAGTGGTGACGAAACCTGCGCGCGGAGGGAGGCGCGGGTGGCACCGGTGCTGGTGCTCGGGGGAGCGGCGAATGTTGCCTGTGGCGTCGGTGGCGGTTGCTATTTGATATTTTCTCTGTTGGATTTGATCATAATCTGTGTTTTTACTTCATTGTATGTAATTTGGGATTCACAAAATAAGACAATATTCTGTCAATTTTTTAAAAAAAATTATGCCAAATTTTATTTGCCTTATTTTGTCAAAAACCGTCAAATGAAAGACAAATTAGTTAAACTGATCCAAAATTTTCAAATTAAAAAATTGAAGCTAAATTTGTTAAACTTGTCTCAAATGTAAAAGATACATCAAATTCGTTATAAATATGTCAAAACGTCCAAATATATCGTTTTGATATAACAGGGTCAAATAAACAAGGCCAAAAGGGGCTATTTACCCCTTAGTTAACACCGTTAACTCGATTTGACGGAGTAGGGTCAGCCTTTATCTTTGATTTTGAAAAACAGGGTCAAATAAGTAAACTGAAAAAAATAACGTCAAATTGGTTTCTCCTAACATTTAATTGTGATTTTATCGTATTTGAGTACAGCAACTCAATTAATTTATGCTCAGAAACTGATCTTCATCCCCATGCTCTGTTTCAGAGTGACGACCGTGGCGCCATACCCATTGGCCAAGAGCCCGCTAGAGAGCAGCGACACAATGGGGAGTGCCAATGACAACAAGTCATCTTGCACGGACATTGCCCTCTCAAGCAACCGCGACGAATCATTGTCATTAGGCCAGCCAAGGACCATCAGCTTCTGCGAGGAGTCCCCCAGTACAAAGCTACAAATCTGATCTGGGTGATTGCCCAGTGTCCATAGATTCGGCCATTCTGATTGATGCAAAAGACATAAAGAATCTTGTGCATTCAAGCGGGGAGGAGGGCTTGGGAAGAGGCATAATATATAGTATGTTATTGATGGTGTTCTTGTTCTTGTTTATGATGTGTTTTCACATGGTTAATTCGCTTAATGCTGGTCTAGCTGGTGCAAACCCCCCAACTAACAAGAGAGCTGCCACTTGCAGACTCTTGAGTATTTTTTGTTGGCCTTGCGCCATTGTATTGCAGAAAGAAATATGCCAAAATTTAGCAGTACCAAAATTATAGGCTTACAAAAACTGTACTATTCTTGTTTCTTGTATGAACTTACAAGCTGCAGAATGCAAGAACAGATGCTGCATACTACTACTTTGTTCATGTTCTTTTTTTTTTACATCACTGAGCATGTTTGTGCTTGCAAGATGATCATCTTTTTTCTATGGTAAACATATCACATGGAATCCTCATTTGTCTTCATTTCATTAGAGATGACCATACTCTCTCTGGATATGTAGTGATTGGGTACTTCTTACCAGGGTTGCATTTACCGCGCTTACCGCGGGGGTACGGTAAGGGGTAAACCGCGGTAACCGCGTCAAATTCAAATAAATTTAAAAAATAATTTGAATTTTTGATAAATTTTGTACGGTTTGTCGCGGTTTGTCACGGTTACCGCGGTTACCGTGCGGTAACCGTGCTTACCGCCGGGGCGCGGTAACCGCGGCCCCGGCGGTAAATGAAACCCTGCTTCTTACTCGATTATATAAGAGGTTGATCAAGTGCCTTTACTTAACACTAATTGCAAACAAACTCTCAGGTAAGATAATGTCTTTTTTCCCCAGTTTTTCTTTGAGAGAAGTTGGCAGTCTGCATTCTGCAACTCGGCAACTTCTTGAGGAATAAGTTCACTTTAGGTCCCTCAAATTGTTGCCGAGTCCGAAATTCGTCCCTTGAGTGCAAAACCGGGTAGAACGCATCCTTCAACTTACAAAACCGTGCAAACGAGGTCCCTCGGTAGTATTGTGCCTGGTTTTGGCTGATGTGGCACCTACGTGGCTGCTTTGACTAGGTCTTCATTCCATGTAGCATCCACGTGGCGCTTATATGGTAATTTAATTTAAAAAAATATAAAACCGTGGGACCCACATGCCAGTTTCACACACCAAATAATAAAAATGGTGGGACCCACGCGGGTCCCACATGTCATCCTTAATCCTCTCTCTTCTCTCCCCTGCTCTGCAGTCTGCAAGACAAGGCCGGAGCGGTGGCGCGCGAAGTCGGCGGGGCGACGGTGGCCCGAGCGGCAGCGCGCGAAGCCGGCGAGGCGGCAGCGGAGAGCCCGCGGGAGTCGAGGTCGTCCGAGGAAGTAGTGGCGACGGCGGCCGGAGCGGCGGCGGGTGGGCAAAGCGGCGGCGGAGAGCCCCCGGGAGTCGAGGTCGTGGGTGGGGGGAGGGGGCGGGCGGAGCAGCGGCGGCCTTGGGGGCTGGTGCGTGGGCGCCGGAGTGGCGGCGGCCTTGGGGAACAGCGCGTGGGAGCCGGGGTGGAGGCGGCCTTGGGCACTGGCGCCGGCGCGGAAGCCGACCTCGGGCGCGGTCACCGGCGCGGCGACCTTGGGGGCCGGCGCGTGGGCGCCGGAGTGGCGGCCTCCCTCCTCTCGGGCAATGCGCCTTGCTGCCTCGCGCCCAAGCCAGATGACGCCTCGATCTCCCGTGAGCCAGGGCGTGCATTGGCGTTGCTAAACCTACAAATTTTGTTCTTTGGAGTTCAGTTTTCCCTTAAATTTTGGCAAACCTACAAATTTTGTTCTTGTCCTCAGGAAAGCTTGAAGCTTCATTGATAAAAAAAAGAGAAATATTTTTTGCATGATGCGAAAGTACTTGTTCTGATTCTTGCAGAATCTGATATGATCATTGGCTTTGCAAGTAGAAACAAGACAGAGTTGTTGTGCTTCTCCTTGCAGTGAGTGATTAATTAGGGTTGTTAATGCCATGAACCAGTTCGTCCCTGATTGGAACACCACCAGCATGGGAGATGGCTTTGCGCCATTAGGGTTCGTGCGTTTCTTAGATCGAAGCTGGAGATCTTTCCATGGATTGGAGGCGATCAGATGAGTGATTCTTTGGTTATTGTTGTTGTTGCAGCGAAGACGACGGGCTCGTCGAGCTGCTCTGGTGCAATGGCCACGTCATCATGCAGAGTCAGGCGCCGTGGAAGCCGCCGAGGCCGGAGAGGACGGCGACGACGGCGGCGGTGGCGGCGGCCGGCGGCGATGGCGGAGGATGAGTCGGCGTCGTGGTTTCAGTACCCGGAGGAGATGCTCCCGCCAACGCCCTTCTCCACAACGCCAGCAGTCGCGGCCGTCTGCGCTTTATGGCCCCGCGCGTCGCCCGCTTCTGCCGACCGCCGCTCGCCCCGCTCCATTAGCCGGGGAGAGAGAATGTATCGAGGGAGAGGATAGAGAGTAGAGAGAGGAGCGAGGATGACAGGTGGGGCCCACATGGGTCCCACCATTTTTTATTATTTTGTGTGTGGAACTGACATGTGGGTCCCATGGGTTTTATTATTTTTTTAAATTAAATTGCTACGTAAGTGCCACGTCATATTAAGATCGAGTCAAATTAGCTACGTAGGCGCCACGTCAGCTAAAACCGCCCTCAAAACCGCTGAGGGATGTCATCTGCGCCGGTTTTGATAGTTGAGGGACCCATTATATCTGGTTTTTCGGTTGAGGGACGAAAATCGGATTTGTTGACAAGTTAAGGGACCTCAAATGAACTTATTCCACTTTTTGAGAGGAAGAAAGAAGAATATCTTGGCGTCAGTCTGGAGTGGGCTTTCCAAGCCTGGCCCAAATAGGCCCAAGGCCCATTTCTACCTGAGAAGAGAGCCCAGTTCTCCGCTACAATTCCCCAAATTTCGACTGATCGAAACCCTAGCCCTAGGCCACCGGACGCGGCGACGCCGGCGAGCCCGCGACTGCGACCTTCGCCTCGACGACCGCTCATCGTCGCGCTTCAACTAGCCGGGGAAGGCAAGGCGGAGCAGCGGCGGCGGCAAGAAGACCGCAGCGTATGTCGATATCTTGCTTGTTTATGTGGGTACTAGGAATTTTTCAAGCTTCGATAGTTACCGGCTTACTGCCTTGGTGTTACTGTTGAAGATTTGCTTGCTGCTGCCCTAGATGATACTAATTTTACATGCCATGGTGTCGATTCGGGCTAAGTTCATGGGCGATTACCGTTTTTAGTCGTTGGCTTTAGATGGGATTAGTGTGGTATTTTTAGTTTAGTTCGCTGCAAGTTGTCCAAATCTGACGAGTTATAGTGAAATCCCCTTCTTGTTTTTTTTGGCAGAAGGCGGTAGATATGGCGACGGCTGGGGCCAGCAGCTTTGAGGACGAGATCATGGAGTCTGACATTGAGTTGGAAGGTGAAGCTGTTGAGCCAGATAATGACCCTCCTCAGAAGGTCGGGGACTTGTGAAATGCAAACTGATTCGAGACTTTTTATGATGTTTGTTTGATGGTGGAAAGAATTGATGTTTTAATTCCATGACTTTTTCTGTTACAGATGGGAGATCCATCTGTTGAAGTCTCCGATGAGAAGCGTGACCAGGCGCAGCTGTGCAAAAACAAAGGCGTCGATGCATTTTCAGAAGGCAAGGTTTATTTGCCTGTTCTTATTGAAATCTCGCACTATAATAAAATGAATTGTGTAATTCTGTGCAATAAGGTGTGCAATAAGTTGGTCTTCCCTTTAAATCAGTATGGATTTGTGTATAAACAAAGCATTTCTCTATATCAGGTAAATTGGATGAAGCTATTGAGCATCTGACAGAGGCTATTGTACTGAATCCGACTTCAGCTATCGCCTATGCAACTAGGGGTATCATGACTCTCTCTATATATGGTCCTTCATTTCTCTATGTATCGTCCTCCGTTTGATGGAAACCAAATGTCACTCTTTTGCTATGCAGCTGTTATTTTTGTGAAGTCAAAGAAACCAAATGCAGCTATTCGTGATGCAGATGCAGCATTAAAGGTTTGAACATTTCATTAATAGTTCTGGATGATAAAACCCATTCTTGTTCAACTATATGATTATAAGCTAATGTAATTCCTGTCTGTTGTGCCACTCGCAGATTAATCCAGATTCTGCTAAAGGATATAAATCACGAGGGATGGCAAAAGCTATGCTTGGGAAATGGGAAGAGGCTGCTCAGGACCTTCGCATGGCAGCAAAATTGGATTATGATGAAGAGATTGGAGCAGAACTTAAGAAGGTTATACGACTAATTACTACTAACATAGCTTACCATGAATAATAGTTAGATTTGGAAAAAGAAACACTGCCTCCTCTATTTAAAGAAACACAGCTATGTCAGAGACACTCATTCCCATTCTACAGGTTGAACCCAATGTACTCAAAATTGAGGAGCACAGGAAAAAATATGAAAGATTACGTAAAGAGAGGGACATTAAGAAAGCTGAAATGGAAAAACAGCGTAAACATGCAGAGGAGGTAATTAATTTTCCTAAGGCTGTTTGTCAAATATCTTCAGTCTCAGACAATCGCAGATAAAAGTAGAAGCTCCAACAAATCTGATCTCCATGTTTTTAACTTCTATATCAATTTTAAGGATGAAACTCCTTTGGTTCCATTAAACATTGCATATTTGCCATATCATCCATTTTAATCCTGTAAGGACCCATGACACTAATAATGTTTCTCTATACATTTTTACGTGCAGGTCTCTGCTGCTTCTGCTGCTCTGAAGGATGGTAAGGCTTATTTTCATGCTTATTTGTTCAGTTCTCCCAATACTCTCACTTATATAATAATATTGGATGGAGGCATTTACAAAGTTATGACTTCTTCAAAAACCTTAAGATGTTTTTCTGCATTTCTTTGAGAACTTGTTTAGAAAATTATGTGCGTTTTTAATTTACTTTGACTGAAATTTGTTTCGTTTGTATTGTGCATTTTATCAGGTGATGTGATCGCTATCCACTCATCCAGTGAGCTGGACACAAAGCTGAAGGCAGCCTCAAGCCTGTCTAGGCTTGTGGTTCTCTATTTCACTGCAGCATGGTGTGGGCCATGTCGTTTTATTGGACCTGTTTGCAAAAGCTTAGCTGAAAAGCACCGGAATGTTGTTTTCCTTAAGGTGGACATCGATGAACTAAACAGTGTCGCATATCGCTGGAACGTCTCCAGTGTTCCATCATTCTTCTTTGTGAGGAATGGAAAGGAGATCGATAAAGTTGTTGGTGCTGACAAGAATGGCCTTGAGAGGAAAGTTGCTCAGCATGGATCATCCTAAACTGTGAGCAGTCCTGTTACTTGTCTTACTTCTATGCTGTATGTTTTATGACGTGGAATAAGTGCTTATGGATAAAAGTTGACATACACATCGAGAACTTTTTAGCTGTTCTGTGTACTTTCTGTGTTGCTCTATGCCTTGCTGGAGGCTGGATATATTTTGATGATCGTTGCAAATAACTTCAGCAATCTTATGTTGGCCCAAAAACTAATATTGGTTTTACTGGAAATTTACTGATGCTACTGTGGGTCAGGTACTCAGGTTCATGCAGATGCTGCCACATTGCCTTTTCATTGGCACTTCGTATAAATCCATAATGGCCTTGTATATCTCTACCCTTGTGATTATGAAGTTAGTTTAGGTTCCTTTTGTGTTTCCTAATATAAATATACTTTCTCTTGCACAAATTTTATCATATTGTCTGATGATTGATTCACATATCATCAACTCTTCTGTTTGACAAGCATTTGCAGCATGCATGTGCTTTTGTTTTCCTTGATGCACTTTTACCTCAATAGAAAATACAATTTGTTGTAGCCTAGCAAGTAGAAACAGATAACTGAATCAGTTAAAACAAATTTATTATTGATTTTCTCTCCCCAAAAAAATCCTTTTGAAGAACATAGGTTTACCTTATGACTTCTTGCAAACAAAGATTACAAATGCACCAAACACATATACTCCACATATGCCGTATATATATAATACATTTCCTGCATCCTAATAGTAATTCACTTCCTCTCATTCTTGGAGTAGAACCTCAAGACAACATAGAAGAGGAGGCGATAGAGGACACCCCATGCAAGCAGGATGGCAACATCAACCCAGATGCTGTCAATGGTGATGTCCAGTGTGGAGAGCACGTCCTGCCCCATCAACGGGCACGCCGCGTCGCTGGCGTTGAGCTCCCGCCGGAGGCTGCTGGGCTTGAACCCCCCGAGCGGCCCCGGCGAGAGGTCGGCGCGGTCGCCGGCGTAGCACCGGCCCCCCTTGAACTCGCTCACCAGCAGCGCCTCGAACGGGTACTTGATCGCGGAGGCGTAGTGCAGCCACCTCCACCCCACCGGGATGAGCGTCCGCTTGAGGAAGAAGCCGCAGGTGAGGAAGAAGAGCGCCGTCGTCGCGATGACGACGGCGTAGCCGGTGATGTAGCTGGGGACGAGCGCCGAGACGAGCATGACGTAGGCGTTGGTGGTGATGAGGGAGGCGAAGAGGATGACCCAGAAGTGGAGCAGGCTGCTCTCCATCCGGAGCATCAGCTTGGTGATCACGGCGAAGGTGAGCCCTTGCACGGCGAAGAAGGGGAGGTAGACGACGAGGGAGGCGACGACGTAGGACGACGCCCTGTAGGCGTTGTGCGACCGCTCCCGGATGAAGATGAACCGCTCCTGGATGAAGGTTGGCACGGCGTCGTTGGAGGAGAAGAAGACGAGGCAGACGGCGAAGATGTAGAAGTTGAGCAGCCGGTTCACCGTCGGGACGTCGCCGGCGCCGAGGCGGCGGAACATGGTGGAGAGGATGACCGCCATCGCCGCGAGCACCACCTCCCTAGAGAGGAACAGCTCCGGCGTGCGCACCACGTTGAGCACCGTGCGCCACGACAGCACCGCCACCTCCCGCGGCCACGGGTTGGCGAACTTGGGACGATGGCCGCCGTTGTAGTCCTCTTCCGGCGCGTCCAGCGGCGGCTCCAGGTCAAGCTCGTACTCGTGGTACGTCGGCTCCTCCGGCTTGAACACCGGCACATGTGGAGACGGAGGCGGAGGAGGCCGCCGCTGCGGGTTGTTCTGCGGCGTTGGCGTCATTGTCACGGCGCGGCCACGCTGGAAGCTCGACACCGGCGTTCTCGCCGGTGTCCATGTCGGCCGCCGGTGCGGCGTGCTCCCGGTGACGCCATGGTAGACCCAGACCGAGAAATCCTTGTAGAACTGTGACGCCAGCCTCGGCTGGTACCCCGAAGCTGGACCGCCGGCGTGCATCGGCGTCTGCAACTTCCTCTCGAGCGAATTATCAAAATCCTCATCGTCGTCATCGCCGCCGCCATCGACATTGTACGACGACTCGAAGTTGGAGAAGGTGTTGCCATTGGCGGCGCCGCTGTTGAGGGAGAACTGGTTGCTCTTGAGTTGGATCTGCCTGAACTGCACCGACTTCTGGTGCGGCGTTCTCGGTGTTCTTGGCACCGGAGTTTTCGCGGCGCCGTCGGGTTTCGTGCCGTCCCTCTGGTAGGCAACCAGAGGCTCAAGCCCCGATGTTGATTCATCGTACTCCTTGATGACATCCAGGAGATACTCAATGCTGTTCTCACCATCCGGCACCGGCCTGCCAAATCCAGCCAGGTGTGTTTGCAGTGTGCTTGGGCTTCCTAGGTAGATCAACCTTCCCCTGGATGAATCAATGACAGTATTTTTAAATTGAACAAAAAAGGAATTTTGGAAGCAAAAGACAATTCTAGACCTAGGCAGATACTTCCTCCGGTCATTCAGACAAGATTTGGTCAAACTTTTAAAATTAGACACTAACAATTTGGAATACTATCTATAACTCGTTTCGTTTCAGTCTATAAGGTTTTAACTTTGGTGAAAGTCAAACTGTTTTAAGTTTGACCAAGTTTATAGACGAATATAGTAATATTTATATTACCAAAATAATTTTATTAAATTAATAATTAAATATATTTTAATAATAAATTTATCATGAGTAAAAAATATTACTATTTTTTCTATAAACTTAATCAAACTTGAAGCAGTTTGACTTTGACCAAAGTCAAAACATCTTATAACCTGAAACGGAGGGAGAAATAGTTTTGTCACCTTGCGAGGATGACAAGCCTGTCAAGAAGCATCTGGATCCTGAAAGATGGCTGGTGAATCGTCATGAGCACAATGCTCCCTCCTCTGGCGATGTCCTTCACCTTCTCCACCACGCTGTGCGCGCTGGTGGAGTCGAGACCGGAGGTCGGCTCGTCGAGGAAGAGGAGGGAAGGTTTGTGGATGATGTCTATGCCGATCGACACCCTCCGGCGTTCCCCACCGGAGACTCCTCGGGTCCCTTCATCCCCAATGTACGTGTGAGCCGTTGTCTGCAATTTGGCACACAGATTGTCAGTAAAAATGAGCAAGCTGCTAACCTAGCTTGTAGAGTATAACCAGCTACAATTCTGTCGATATTATTTGTTTAATGGTCAGATTAGAGAGATTTTTACGGTTCTAAGGATACCGTATTTTTTTAATGTAAAATTTGGTATCTCTCGGTATTAAATTGGACCTGGTACATTCTCAAGTATCGGAAAACTGCTCTATCGGATTAATTTGATTGACTTACCTGCAAACCAAGCTGATCGATGAGCTCCCAGACTCGCTTGAGCTTCTCAGCTCTGGAGAGTGATGGGGGCAGCCTCACTTCAGCTGCGAAAGTGAGCGTCTCCAGCACCGTCAGCATCGGGAACAACTGATCATCTTGCATCACGTAGGATGAAATCTGCTTCATGTAGCTCGTCGTGACCTAAATTAACAACAAGAACAAGAGATCATCTTAATTGTGTACTTGATTATGCAGAAGAACGAGAGAACTGTATACTCTCTTCGTTTCAAGTTACAAGACGATTTGACTTAGGTCAAAGTTAAACTAATTTTTAACTAAGTTTATAAACAAATATAGTAATATTTATAATACCGAATTAGTTTCATTAAATCAATAATTAAATATATTTTCATAATAAATTTGTCTAAGGTTGAAAATGTTATTATTTTTTCTTTAAACTTAGTTAAATTTAAAGTAGTTTGGTTTTAACCAAAGTTAAAACATCTTGTAACATGAAACGGAAACAGAGGAAGTAGGTTAATTTTATGGGTGTTTGATGATCATCGATTCATCTTACAGCTCGGCCGTCGATGCGGACGGAGCCCTCGAGGCTGCCCTTGGCGATCCGGCCGGCGAGGGCGTCGAGGAAGGTGGACTTGCCGGCGCCGCTGGGGCCGAGGATCGCCGTCACCTGCCCGCGGGGGGCCTCGCCGGAGATGTCGTTGAGCAGGTACACCTCCTTCTTCACCTTCACCCCCTCCTTCTTCTGCTTCTTCACCACGCTGTACGACAGGTTCTTGAACTCCAGCCCTTGCCTGCTGGCCACCGCCGCCTTCACGCCGCCGCCGCCGCGACGGCCGCCACGGGCGGCGTCCGTCGCGTCCAGGAGGCTCTCCAGGCTCTCCTTCCTCTCCGTCGTCGTCGGCGGCGGCCGGCGGGTGGTGGTGGTGGTGGTGGCCGCGGCAGGCTCGCCGGCTCTCTCTGTCCGGTGAGTTCGGGTGGCCGGCTCGCCGGCGGCGGCCCTCTCGGCGCGGTGGCGGTGGGCGGCGGCTGGCTCGCCGGCCCTGGCCATCTCACGGCTGCGCTGCTGCTGCTGCATTGTTGTGTTAGCCTTCTAGCTAGCCTGCATTGCTCCATTGGTGTGTAACTCCATTTTATAGTTGCTGCATAACCAAAAAAAAAAAAAGAAATCGTTTTCTTATTGCGAGGGGAAAAAAAACAGAAGGGTTCTTCTACTGGAGAGAATTTTTCCAGAAAGAAAAGAATATATTTCTGAGTGTGCAATGCTGCGATGGAATGCATCAATTCGGCCAAAATTGAGGTGATTTGTCTCTTGCCAAATGACTTTGGAGGCAATGCTTTGATTTGGCATTGGTTTCGCAGGAGGCGTTTTGTTGCATGCGTAGCACATAGCTGTGCGACGTTGAAGTAGAGGCAGACTTTCAGAGCAGCTCAAGTCACCCATGCAAGCTTGGCGTCTGGGCCAATAACTAATGGTTACTGTGTTAAGTTACAGCTTGTAGTTCTACCTAGTATCAGTGTAGAAATGGTTAGGTTAATTGGAGTCCATTAATTGGCACACTTGCCTGAGCCTGACAGTACAATGGCACTACACAAACGCATACGCTTGGGCTGTGATGGGCCAAAAGCTATTCTTGGTCCGATCTCGTGAGAGTAGGCCTTAACGGGCCGACTCATCGTGGATTGGGCCGTGACGAGACGAGACGTAGATTGTTCGGCCAAATCATTGTAAGCCATGGCCGGCATGTTTGCATTGCTTCCTTGTGGAATTTAGCGGCTGTTTTTTTTAATACAGAAATTTTGTTATGTTTGCAATGTCGAATCTCACTACGTTTGCAATAACAAGAAGAAGAAGGAGGATCTCTTGCCCAAGTGCTCAATCCAATGTGTGTTTTCATCTTGTTTGTCTAGTTAGTCTAGTTTAAGTTGTTTGTGACACATACTTGCCTCACACCTATTTGGAAAAAAAATGGAACCATGCTATTATAATTTTGTAAAATTTGAGATATGCCATACTGACCCACGTGTCATTGACTCACGTGGGTCCTACATGTCACGTGGGTCCTACATGTCATTGAGATACCGATGGCATATCTCAAACTTTGCAAAATTATAATGGCATGGTTCCAAATTACGGTAATTTATTTATGGTTAACGACACAACAGCTAGCCCTTGTAGCATAAAAAGTCTCATGTTATCTCAGTTTCTTGTTTGTAGACTACTTCGAGTTTGATTGGTTTATAGCCAAATTCAACCATTCCAAAAAATTGGGAATGGCCATATATTAACAATCTCTATTTGATCTGGAACCAAAAACAACAAAACTAGGCAATATTTACCATCTAATGCTGTATTTCTGTTGACCTGTATAGTTGAGAAATCATGCTTGATGGAGAAGGTGCTACCACCAATCTTTGTGTCATGATACCATCATAAGATGAGAGAAAGCAAAACGGTTGAAATCATTTCCTTGCACTTGAAATGCACCCTTTTATGCATGAATTGGAATGTGCCTGGATTTGACCTACGAAGTGTTAATTCATGCAGCACCAGGGCAGGCACCTTCATCCTGACAAAAGGGACTAACTTCATCTGCAACCATAACATGCTCTGGGCAATATCAGCACATCAAACTCTAGCCAAGTGCTTATCCTTAAATTCTTGAGCATACAAGGGCCCGACCGGGCCCGGGGCGGGCCGGCGATCGTCGAGTGCATGGTCTCGCGGGCCGCGCCGGATCGACACGACCACACGGCTGCGCCGGCCGGCGGAGTATCACCACAGAATTCATCTGCCTGCTGGTGTCCACTGAAAAGCGAAAACAACCTCAAAGAGCCTCAATCATACTAAAATTCATAAGCACACCTAGGGAGCTCCACTACAAGGGGTGTAGGGACAGCATCAGGTAATGCAGGGACAAGAAGGCAGCAGCAGCAGGCCACTGATTGGTGGCAAGTCGATCATTGCAAAAGGATCCTAGCTATAGCTAATCTTTGCTTTGCTTTTGATAATTAATTAATCAATTTGCTCCATGACTGACTGATCTGTCAGCTGTTAGTTGCTCTGAAGTGGTTTGGTAGTGTTAAGATCACTATTTTTCTAGCTTTCATATATGCAGCTAAGCCATAGCTAGCTTGCAATCTTCAGAGATGATCAGTTGGTGAGTCAACTTGACTAATGCAGAGACATTCCATGGGCAGTGTGACACTACATTCATCGATCTCCTGATCATTTGGTGAGATGATGCTGTTTATCCCTACACTTTGGAGGGCCCAAAGAATCCGGGTGTAATATAATGATGGTAGGAGGGGTCCATCGATGTACATTTTGCTGTTGGGGTGAACTTACTTTCAGAGGTGATATGGATAGCAATGTTTAGTATTTCTTTTTCGAGCTGAAGTGTGTTCTTGGCTCTTTTAGTTTGAGGAAGAGGCAGCAGGCAGGCGTGCAGGACTCCACTAAAGATCACTGAAGAGTGCTGTTCCCATAATGAAAGTGTAAATTGTGTACTACAATGTCTGATCGATTCATGCTGTGGACAACATATGGCAGGATGGCAGAAGATGCTTTTTACTACCTCCGTCCCAAAATAAGTGTAGTTTTGCATTATTCATCTTCAACGTTTGACCGTTCGTCTTATTTGAAATTTTTTTATGATTACTATTTTTATTGTTATTAGATGATAAAAGATGAATAGTACTTTATGTGTGACTAATTTTTTTAAAATTTTTCATAAATTTTTCAAATAAGACGGATGGTCAAACGTTGGACACGGATTTCGACGACTGCACTTATTTTGGGACGGAGGTAGTATCTTTTTGGCCTGACTAAATGCTACACCCTCCATAGTTTACAAGAAGTTTTGACTTTGGTCAAAATCAAACTGTTTCAAATTTAACTAAGCTTATAGGTAAATATAGTAATATTTGTAATACTAGATTAGTTTTATCAAATCAATAATAAAAATAAATTTTTCTTGGGTTGAAAATATTACTACTTTTTTTCTACAAGCTTGATTAAACTTAAAACAACTTGACTTTGATTAAAATCAAAATGTCTTATAACCTGAAAAAGGAGTAATTGGAAAATAATCTTAATAATTTTTTGCACGACCCTGAACAGATTTTTGCATGAGAATTGAACTTGGACGTCATTGTTAATCTTCAGTATTATCATTGTTTCTCCCATTTATGCCAGGCGCCGGTCAAAGTCAAACAACTCATACCAGTTCTCTCAAATGATGTCCTAACTAAAATATGAATGTGAAATCATGCTCGTATTAATCCGACAATGCATGTTTCGGCCATCTCAGTCTTTTTTGTAACCCTTGTTTATATACAAACGCATTATATATTTATATATGCAGTACTATGGGTGTGTACACGTGTATGTGTGTTACGTGGACATATGTACTATCGATATATGATCTGACTACCAACCCAGATGAACCTAGAACTAGCATATGACCTGTTCTAGCTAGCTCAGGCATAATTCCAAGTACTGCATTTTTTTTAAATATATGTGATTCTATTAATAGAAAACTATGTAAGCATAATTTATTTTGCTAGCTATGGCTCTTGCTATATTACTAAATGTATTTTAAGCATGATTTATATATCTACGTAATTAATTTCAATTTGAATAAGATGAATGATCAAAGTCACATTAAAAATAAAAAAACATCATAAATTTTAAAAAAGAAGGGAGTGTATCTAGTATTTACCAATTTATATTCAAACCCCATAAACTTCAAATTACCCAGTCAGCTTAAGAACATGTTGGATTGAATTGATAGAGATTGCGGTCGTGTATGCTAGCTAGCTGCTCGTGGACTTGAAGTTTTGTGAGATTTGTCAACTGAAGACATGAGATATATCTCGTAGAATTAGTTTATTTTCGTTAGAAATCTAACCTGCGATCGATGCTTGGCGTCTCATGACAGGTACCAACCAAAATCACTCCAAAAATAACTCGGTCATAGTGGTCACGTCAATCGTTTGCAATTTGCATGGCAGATTTTTTTCCCTCTCGTGTACTATATATGTATACGTTACTGTGTGCTGACCAAGGCCGGTGTCTTAGTTATGTTGTTCAAAGTGGAAAATATGTAATTATATTAGAATTAATGATCTGAACGCGCGAGCGCGTGCGTGTAAATATTCATGTTAGCTGATCAGTAGTTACTAAGGCCGAGTTTAGCTCCAAAATTTTTCTTCAAACTTTCAACTTTTCCATCATATCAAAATTTTCCTACACGCATAAACTTTCAACTTTTCCGTCACATCGTTCCAATTTCAACTAAACTTCCAATTTTAGCGTGAACTAAACTTCTATATATTTCTTTTGTCACTAAGACCAATGAGTAATTGATTCATCCATCATGCGACAAAACCAATGAACCATACAAATGCATGCAACCAATAAATACTAACCTGAACTGACTTCTTGGGTTCTAGTCAACAAGTTAACTTAGCACTTGAAAACTACAAATAAGCTTTAGACTTTTGAAAAAACCAAAAAAAATGAAATAGAATTGATTTTGAGAGTTTTTCTCATCATAGTTTATTTGTAGCATTGGCTTTTAGATCACGAACATGGATATAAGAGTTTTTTAAAAAATGGTTGTTTCATATATTTTTTTCAGGGTTGAGAGCAAACTATGTGTACGATATATATGACAACTTAATTAATCTTAATATCTTTAGATAATTAATTTGTTATGCATCTTGCCGAGAACCTGACACTGCCGACTGCGCACAGCCGCAAAAGTTGAATATCGCGGGTCTCTGCTCGATCGACTGATGATATTTCATCCAGAAGTGACCAGTTCATCCAGAAATGAATTCCAGAATCTGTGCAGACTGCGACTTTGAATTAAGTTGAACTGGAAAACTATTTGCATTGGCATGCAATTCAACTCACTATGTGCGAGGGAGAGCTCTCAGAAATTAAAGATCAAATAGCTAGTGACTAGTAGATCGTACGTATCATATAGGTGAGAGAGGTCTGCTGACCTCATCGTGATATCATGGGTGATGAGATCCTGTATAATTGATAATTTGACTGTTAGCTAGGGTTTACATTCATGCTATGTTGGGGGAAAACAATTACATTGTGTGCAGGACCCATGGAGTTGGTAAAGCCTGGGACATCTTGCATGTATGTACAGCTGTTTTTCTTAAAGGAAATGAAGCTAATACCTCTGGCGTCAAATCATATTGATTTTGTTCAATTGTTTGTCACAAGTAGGAGTGTAATTTGTACAAACTAAACTTAGGTGCATAAATGCATGGCAGCTGGTCAGAAATATATGAAAACACAACTTGTTTCTTGGAGAGAATGCACAACACCTTTTTTTTTTATATCCCAAAACACAACTTAACACCACAGTGCTAATATCTACTACCTCCATTTCACAATGTAAGTCATTCTAACATTTTCCATATTTATATTGATATTAATGAATCTAGATAGATATATATGTCTAGATTCATTAACATCAATATGAATGTGGGAGGGAAATGCTAGAATGACTTACATTGTGAAATGGAGGGAGTATTAATCATAACATACTTATGCTGAGTTGTGATCCAAATTCATTTGCACATATATAAAGGACAACTTCTACCGGAGCGAAGCGGAGGCCCGTTGCCAGAGGCTTGGGCCGGAGCCCTCGCGGTACGGATCACTATTATTTTAGGATTTCACCTTTATATAAACTTATTGTAAGCCGCCGTTCGGCGTTTGTAACCTCACCTCGATATAGTGAAGATATTTTGCTGGGCTGGCGCCTATGGTTTTTTCTATCTTGCTTTGGGAGGGTTTTCCACATTAAATCTCATGTCTTCTATGATTGATCAATTGTTTTTTATCGTTTATTTGCCTATCGTTTCCTAACAACTTACAAAAACATGATAAATTTATAAAATAGTAAAAGTATAATGAC